TTAAACATTATTAAATACTACCATTCAAAGTTAAGTCCATTGTTTTCAACTACTTTCGTCCATCTTTCTGCCATTAATTGGATTTGATGCATCCATTCCCTTGGTTTTGAGGGAAAGAACTCTTCACATCCAATTTTTACATCCTAGTAATAGTAAAAGTTCCGATTTTTAAAAAATGAGCCACTGATCTAAACAACACTACAAAGCCTGTAAGAAAAAAACCGCTGCAAATTATTTCACAATGGTTTATTATTTCCAAACAATAATACATCTAAAGTAACATTACCTTCCTAGTTACAAAGAAACATAAATAAAAGGTGATTACAATTATTGGACTAAACTTTTTTTTTTTAATCATTATTAATATGCTAAAAAAAAAAACAGCATTACTTCAGTAACACATTCAAAAAACATTTTTTTTTATTTATTTATTCATGATATTTACAACTGTATTAAAAAATTAAATACATTAAGTAAATTTGATAACAGAAAATAATAACATGAAATGACTTGTTGAGAAACTACCCACTGGTAGCACTCTATTCAAAATTTAAAAACCAAACTTTGTCTTTGCTTCTAATTGTCTGATTTTAACGTTGTTTTTTTTTTGTCTTTTAGGAAATTTTTAAAAAACCGTTGAAGTATGTTATATAGACTTTAAATTTAAAGTGCGTAGAGGAAATGACTTTAGCGAAGTTTCAATTAAGCTGGAATATAAAAATATGAAGGAAGTTCACACAACTTCGATATTTAAGGAGGAAATCCAAGAGGAGACCAAGACGAACTGGTTTTACTTTAGTGGAAATAAACATAATTACAAATAAGAAGTTTTTTTTTTTTACAAATTCAGAGTAAAAATTGCTTTAAATTTACCGAAAATTACACGAAATCTAAGTAACGGCAATACGTATCATGCCAGTAACGTTTGGAATCGACCAAACAATACAGTACAATAGTATACAGTTTGAATTTAAAATTTCATAAACCTATAACAATATTGTAATAACCTAACTCCCACTCCATATGATCATTGCCTTCCACATTTCAGCCATTACATTGTTAACAATTATTTATATCAATTTTAATTATCAAATGGAATTCAATGAAACTGATGCTAAGTAATTTCTATACTATTCTCTAAATTTTCTCACAGTTTGGGTCAAATCAAATTTAAACTATAGGCATATCAAAACACACATTTCCTGATCTGAAAGCGGAAGGTATTTTTTTCTGGAGTATTATATAGGATTTGATAATATTTATGCCTATTTCATGTTACATTTATCAATCCCTAAATTTCCTCCCAATTTGAGCAAAATCGAACTTGCGGATTTAGAGATATAGATGTATCAAGGAAAACACGTTTGCGCATATATAAGAGAGAGCAGGGGACAGAATCCAATTAAATTGACCCTACATCATTTTTTCACAAATACCTACATTTTATCCAACTTTGAGCCAAATCGAACAAACCGTTTCTGAAAATTGGATGAACGGCAGTAGGTGATATGCCCGTTACATCAATTTGACTACAGACAGACAGACACCGAACCAAATTTGATCCTTGATGTCTGAAACGTAAAACGCGAGTGGAAATTTTCGATTTAACCTTCAGTAGTGAGGAAGCAAAAAAGAATACAAAGCGTATGAGAAAAATTAATCTTAGCCTATTAATAAAGCTAATTGATACTGCAATCTACGCGCAAAATGCTTTATTACATTACGTTGTTTCGATAACAACGATCATTCGATAACAATGTCTATAACCTTCATTTTTAGTTTTTTACAACACAATTTGCTGTTTTTTAAGTTACAGATTTAAAAAAAAAAAACAGAGAAGAAACGAAACATCCTAGATTTTATTTTGTGGGATCAGAATATGCGCCAGGACAAATTTGACTAGAAAAGCTCAAAACCTCATTTTCCAAAGAAACTGTCCTTACAGGCTTTCGCATTATAGCTGTCGATATGTAGTTGCGTGTTTGAGGCTTTTTCTCTACCCAGATGTTATCCAGGAATACGGAAGACATTGCTTTACCGAAATCAGAAAAATATCGTATAGCTGCTGTGGTACCTACCAGGTTTTTGGAATGAATTACAGTTTATCTCAAAACACTTCTTCCAAAAGAATCTAGCCCGGTTTTGATGCCCGCGTCGAAATCTTAAAGGCCAACAATATTTATCCAGCCTCTAACTGTCCACTTACGAACGTTTGAGTTTTAAATCTGCTACCTATCTAATGACGTTTTCTTGAAGTTGTAAGAATTTAAGGACCGAATTGGGATTCCTCACTCCTCTATAAAATTCTCTTTCGCTGGACACCTCATTTATCAAAATCCATCTCCCTCCACAGAGTCGAAAAATTTGATCTATACAACCATATTATATATATAGTGTAGATAATTCATAAATCTTTAAGGTCTTGGAGTCACTTAATCCGTCCTTGGAGATAAGGTAGAATTTACGAGATGTAACCTAAAAATAGAAAATTAATAAACTGCAAGATAATAATATCAAATACAGATTACGAAATCTCAGTATCTTTAGAAGTTTCAATCGAAGTTTACAAACAAATTATTTTAAGGTTATGAGCGTGTTTGTAGTTAATTGTGAAAATGTACATATAGTGATAATTTACGGTTCAGATGATCGATTTCAGAATTAAATAGGAGTTAAGGAGATATCTCAATGTAAGAGTAAATATTATAAGTAAAGTTAATTTTTTTTAATTTATTAAACTAAATTAATGTTTACAAAATAAACTGTATAATCTCAATACACTGTAAGTATAGATTAACAGAAAAAAACAAAACAAGAATCACCAAGTAAGGTCAATCATTAGCTCCAATTAAGTGCATCAGATACAAATTAGTAACATCGATTTTTAACTGTAATAGCCGTCATTATATCGATTGTTTGGCTGTACTAATGACTGGCCCTCTAGAATCATTATCGATAATCACAAAGCAAAACCAACAGAGGTGTTTAACGTCACTGCTGTAGATGGGGCCAAAATACTTATTGATTTCAAAATAACTCTGTGACTAAGGAACTTGCTTTACCAGGCTTGGGTTTGATTCCCGAAAATAAAGAAGATAATTAAATATTACTTCAGTCAGATTTCTTTATTTCCAATATAATAGAGAACTAATCAAGCGAACCGAACTTATCGAACGAGCCGTTTCTGAAATATTAGCATATCTATAAATATACATTCGCGCGTGCGTAAGTGTTAGCTAGACAACCACCTGCACAATCCCTGACAATTTTATGAAACTCGGATGATTGGTAGTAGGTGTTATGCTCGTTACATCGATTTGATTACAGACGGACAGACCGACAGACAGATATACATCGAACCAAATTTGATCCTTGATGTCTGAAACGTAAAACGCGAGTGGAAATTTTCGATTCGTAGCACATTTTTTTTTTAACTCTCGCACGAATATAATGCTTCCCTATCTTCGAGCTGCTTTGTTTACTATTCTCCAATACTTATAATATCATTAGTAAATTATAAACTATATGTGTGACAAAATTATTAATTACTGAGCACGGATAATTCGGAAGAAATTATCAATCAATTTTGTTGTAAATTTTATTAGTTTTAATTTTGTGTAGAAGATCTTTATCTTTATTCAAGATAGGTATATGCCTTAGAGGTTACGGCAACCTTTTCCTTAAAATCCGCTAACCGGAAGTGCTACTTTATATCAACGGTGAAATACATTTTTACAATTTTCTCATAAACGGCTCTAACGATTTTGATTAAACACGGTGAAGCATTGTATAATTAAGTGGTATTTAATACCATTGAGGTACTATCTCCTTCGATGTCACTTTACAGGGCATCAATGTCCAATGTTCGTATGAATCTTCCTCTAAAGTACCTTTAATATGGTTATATTTTTTTCGTCACTCCTCGTTACCTCCTACAACTTTATTTATTTAATATCATTTTTTATAAAATTCTTCGCTTTCCAACGATATATTAACGTATACCTTCTCACTGATATTTCCGGAGATTCATTTTCAACCTGGATAAGCATTTTTCTTTTTTTCTCCAGTTTCCAATTATTATATTCTATCAAACTTCACATTTAGCAATTTTTTAATAGTTACTGTCAATAAAGAGATTTTTTTTTTTAAATAATCCGTTTTAAAGGTATTTTAGAGAAAGATTCATACGAACATTAGACATTTAAGCCCTGTAAAGTGACATCAATTGGGATAAAACTTCAATGATATTAAAGACCACTTAATTATACAATGCTTCACCCAGTTTAATCAAAATCGTTTGAGCTGTTTTTGAGAAAAGTGTAAAAATGTGTTTCACCCTATATATAAAGTGGCACTTCCGGTTAGCCGATTTTAAGGAAACAGTTGCTGTAACTTCTAAGGCATATTTGTATCTTTAATACGTAATATCAATTTCGTACGACTTTTCGTTTTTGAGATCGACTGTTCACATACACACACACACAGACAGAACAATTAGCGGGACTTGGTTATTTGGACTCAGCAGTTACTATACATATATTACGGGAGTTACCTTACTATATATATAGGTAAGTGAAAGTAAAATCTATAAAGACATTATTATAGATATTTTAAAGTACATTAATATTATGATGAACAATCTTTACACAAATACTCACGGTTTTAGAAATATTCTTGAAAAAAAGATCAATTTTCTGTCCTTCCCGCTGAAAACTCGGATTCGAAAATTTAAGGCTGATTTTTTCTCTAACTTTTTGGACTGCAAAGGTTATTTCTAGGTTCTTAATGGTGGGATACAATTTTATAGGATTAGGATGTAGGAACAGGGTTATTTTATACAGTGCTATAAGCCATTCCAGGTTTTTGTTTTTATGCAGTACTGATATGTAAATAAGTATAATTTTCAAAAAACAATAAAACATACTTGATTTATTGAACGATATACTTGTAAAGTAATAATAAAAAATGGCGTGATATAAATAAATGTAAAGAGGACTTAGTTATTTGACCGGAGGGGGCCAGAGCCACTGATCGGGTTCCGGCTTGGCGATGAGGGGCTCCCAGGGTCTGGTGAGGAGGAGGTTCTTGGCGAGGTGGAGTTCCCTCTCTGCCTGGAGGATCAGCTCCTCCGCCTGCCCGCAGCAGATGTTCTTCTCGATGTCCTCCGGGCAGGGGCAGGCGGCGACGATGGCCGCTCTGGTCGACACTATCTCTTCGGTGTACTTCCTGTAGGCGGAGGAAGCGGGCATCTTGTTCAGGACCCGGATGATCTTGCCGTAGAGCAAGGTGAGCACGTGGGCGGGGTTCTTGCAGACTGGAAGGCCTGTCAGTTTAGTACTCTTCTTCCAGGAGCTCATATGTAATATTTTAAGTGACAAACAGGACACACGGTTTAAAAATAACTATAGTCAATAAACAACAGAATTAACATAAGTTCGTTCATTAACATAACTGTTGGTGTTTTTTTAAATTTATTTTTATTAAGCTATTCTCATATGTTAGTTAATAAAGTTTGTGCGAAGACTGCCTTCTATATAACGTATAACTGCTCCAACACAGTTTTAATATGATGTTATTAATTAAGTAGGCCATGGATCAAGAATCATGGGTATCTAAACATTTGTTGCAATTATTTAAGATATATATTACATGAGGTTAATATAAACCTTAGAAGATATTTTATACTCTATTATGTAAATATTAGTATATCCGAATTCTAACACGGCTTCATTAGGAGAACATATTTATTCATATGAGCTAACTAAACTGTTGTGCGAAACTGAAAGGAGACATATGAAAACTCTAGAAAATTACTGATTGGCTATCCAACGTACTGCACATTCCTAATTCTTCCTAGTTATACCTAGTTATATCATAAATACTGTTATAAAAGTTGTACTTTGTATTATTAAGTAAAGTACATCCTTAGGTGTTATTTAGATAATTACCTCTATCAGGTTATTTTCTTTACATGTCAGGATAGTAATCCCAATTAGTTCGTATTTTTCTTTTGCACAGTTAACATGGAATGGTGATAAAGGAAACCGAATAGCTGTGATCGCCTTACACAAGTTGGAAAATGTAGTTCAGAGATTTTCAACACTTTATGTATCAGCCGTATGTTCGTGTACCGCACAATAAATAAATATAATGAGACCCTATCTGTATGTGAGATACCTCGATCTGAAACAACGGCAAATGCAGTGAGAGCAGTGGCTGCTCGATTCAGAAGAAATACCATTCGAAAACAACAAATCATGTCTCGAGAAATGGGAATCTCTGCCAGATCAATGTCTTGCATAATATAAAGTGACCTTAGGATGGGTGCATTTCGAAGAATGATAGGACAAAGGCTAACCACTTCCCTAAAAAAAATTAGAGTGAATAGATGCAAAGTGCTCCTTGGCCATTACACCAATGGTCTTCATCGAAAGATTTTGTTTAGCGATGAGAAAACTTTTATAATTGAAGACAAATTTAATCGCCAAAATGATTGTGTGTGCGCACACAGCTCTAAAGAAGCCCAGGAAGTCATTAGAAGAGCGGAAAGAGGTCATCACCCTTCATCAGTGATAGTTTGGCGTGGAGTTTGGTTTGATGGCACCACAAGGTTCCATTTTTGTGAAAAGAAAAGAGTTAAACGATATGTTGGAACCTGTTGTGAAGCCTCTAAATGATAGTCTGTTTGCTTGAAATCATTGGGGTTTCTAGCAGGATTCCGCTCCAGCTCACAAGGCCAGGTCCAGTCAACAGTGGCTGCAATAGAACATTCCAGAGTTCATCTCTGCCTCGGATTGGCCCTCACGAAGCCCTGATCTGAACCCACTAGATTATCGGCAGGAGGAAAAATTAATATAAAACTGAAGAAAATTTAGCAGCTTCAGTACTGTTAGCTTGTAAGATGTTAGACAAAGTTATGAAGAACTAAGGTATAGTAGATACACAAGGTACAATGGGTATAGTTGGAAATAAATATTTATTGACTCATTTTTCTGAATGTATAAATGGCGAAAAGTTAATAATACCCAGTAGACATTCGTTTCAGATAGTAGATTCATGGAGTGCTGACTTACACACTGGTAATAATCATCTTGTTTTGACAATGTGTTGGTAGTACAACAACTTCAACTAAATCTGTTGACTATAAAAACGTTAGTTGAGAACGATATGGAAATTGTTATCGGCCACGAAGAAACAACATTCTTAGTAAAAAATAAAAGCAGAAGATGGAACAAGAAAATTAGTACATGTCGATTCAGAAGAGCAGACAGCAGACATTTTGATCAAAGCTTAAGGGCTGAACAAATCCTGGTCTCTCAGAAGAAACTTATCTTTGACTTAAAATCAGCCATCGAGAGGGGAGTGTTGTAGCTATAATTAATTCGATGTCTAATCTCAGTTTTAGTTATTTGGAAGACTTTGATGAGTATTATTGCATTTAAAAAAACACGTATATGTAATGTTATTGTTGTTAAACTTATATTTAGACATAGAAAGATTTGTTTTGAGATTTAAATATTGCTTTTATTCATATCCTATGATTTTAATCATATGTATAGAAACAATTCAATATTTAAAAAAAAAATTATTCACTGTATCACCATATGCCCTGTTACAATCTACAGTGTAAGATCTAGGATGGGTTTGGATGAATGAGGTATACAACTTAATAGAATTTCGTGTAGAAATGTCGAATACCAATTTACGCCAAAATTGTACATAATTACAATAAAAGAAGTTAACAAAATTGGGAGGTAAATCAAAACACAGATGGTTTTATACAGCGCCAGCCTTAGACATTTGATACTCCGGACAATGATGTTGTCTTTTCGTTAATTTCTTAAACTGTTTTATATTAAGCAATGTTTGAAATTTTCTTCATTCAATGTGTCTAATTCAGTTCCTTTATTAATAGGCTAAAATTAATTATTCGTATACGCTTCTGAACTTTATTCCTAACAAATGGCATGCGTCCTCTTCCAGGTCGGCGCCTCGGGGTAATTGCCCGGCCGTGGGACCGGCACTGATTGGTATAGCTTCCTCATCGTTTTTATTGGTTACATAATTACCTATATTTCAAGCTAATCATTTTTTTTTTGTTCAAGAATAAAACTTTAAACGGATACTGATAATGGGTTCAGTGATCTCCTTGGACCGAATCAGCTGACTTTTGGTATGTATAGGTTGGTTGTTTTCTAAACAACACCATAGAAGTGAGAGTAAATTTCAATAATTTCCATTCCAAACAATCGATCGACTCATTGTTATAATATTTCAAGTCATTCAAAGCAAAACTTCGATAATAAGGTTGATATTACCTACTTGTAAACAAACATTTTTTCTTAGAGATATCTTTTTAAGACTAGTTTTATAGCAATGATAATCTTTGAAGGTCGTATGATGCTACAACCTTCCGATAGTGAAAACAGGCATGAAAGTTAAGGTAAATAATATATCAATGGCCTCCATGGTACCATTCCTTCTTACGCCTAAATAAATGCCTGCTTGATCAACCATGCGTAATCTTGCAGTCTAGTATAATTCCGCTCACCTGCCAAAAGGTTCGTCCGTTTCGCTAAAGCCACATCATATCTCCTGTAATACAGGGCAGGTGTCGAGTTGTTCTTCAAACATACATAGTGTCCAAAGAGCACAGAGGACAACTCGAGGGACTATGTCCTGAATTCTAGTGCTAGCCACGGATCGTCCTCTTGAGATCCTGCATAATAATGATAACATATAATTTTATTTTTATCACAATTCGAATTAAAACTTCCCATCCGATAGAAATCTGGAAATAAAAACTTTGAAAGTTCTCATATAAGTTTAATATCGATTGTCTACATGTTTTCTGGCACTGAGATATCATGTTGAAAAAATACATGGATATCAATGAGGCAATCAATATTTAATTATATTAAATTGATTCATTTAATAATTGATTTTAGGAAGCAGAAATGATGGCGTATGTGATAAAACGTTTACATAAATAACATGGAATAATAAAGAAACTTAATAACTAAATCTATCTAAATATATACATGTTTAATTAATATTCTAATAAAAGCAGCCTGAATGATAAAAGTATATTCAGTGATGGGTTATCAATGCAGGTAACTGCCATTACTATTACAAAGGTTTTAAGGTTATTTCTAAAAGGCAAACAATTTTTTTAAAAAGTTTATAAGACAATACACTAATTTTTCACTAAAATAAAACTCAATTATATTTACAAAACCAAACAAAATGTGCAGACGCTGTCTTCCTTATTATTATTCACGTCAACGTTTCAATGATTTCATACATGCATTTTTCTTATTTAGGTTGGCAATATTGGGGGTGCCCATCCCTCCAAATTAGATTGTCCAAGACTCCTTCTGAAAATATTATTGATTTCCTAAAATGAAACCTATGGAAATGTACCCTCCTTCTTAAAAATTCGAAACCCATTAAAAATGTCGCCCTCGAAAATTTGGAACGCACACCAAATAAATTATTATTTATTTATTTATTATAAAATTTCAATTTTATTTTGTGAAAAGGTGTAAAATACATTATTTCATCTTGCAACTGTAGAGACAGATGAAAAAGAAATTTGGACTTGCAGTGGAATACAAAACAAATTAGTTTAGAAATATTTACTTACTTCATTAATAAAAATAAATAAAAAATCATAAATATTTTTTAGCACCCTACTGAAAATTTACTTGAGGAGATTGGTAAATTAAATTTGCAAGACAGAGGAGCCCACTGTCCTCTTGATCTCAATTGATCTGACTATCCACTGCCTTCACAATCGCTGTTTTCCTCATTCTAAGGACGATCGGGACCATTAACCACTTCCATGTAATAACAAGTGATGATACTAACAAAATTCTGTTTAGTATGTATAGTTTGGGGGCAAAAAGAATTAATCATTACTTAAAAATGCTCCTATTATTATTAACATGTTTATGTAAAAAAAAAACAGAATAAAATTATATTATCAAATTATTATTCGCGCAGTAACTTATATCAAATATCATATGTTGTACCCACCATACTAAAAAGGTAAAAGATGGCCGGAGAAGACAAAGAGGTACGCCAGATAGCAACCGTAGACAGTTCTGTGGAGTCGAGGAGGCCAAAATCTTATAAGGACCATATTGCCATCCTGCACGGGCGGATCTACGGGGGGGGGGGCTTTCGGGCTGAAGCCCCCCCCCCAAAATGGTAAAATATAACCATGGTTTATCGAAAAAAATATTAAAAAAGTATCTCTTAAAGTATTATTGTACGTGTGATTACATTTAAAATGGCTTTAGGAATCACTTAAACACCATTTCATGAGGTAGTTAGTTTCTTTCTTTTTTTCCAA